TTGCTCAAAAACGAAGCAATATATCAAAAAAGTAATCGTGATGATTTAATGTCCAATGTCAGTTGGCTTAAGGTCAATAAATAAACAGACAAAGCAAGTAATTGGACTGAATTTGATATAAAAAATGACACAGGTTCGCGAAACACATTACTGTATCGGTATTCTGAGGGATATCCACAAGAGATTCGGCCGTCACGCCGTTCATTAAGATGGACGACTACAACTACCCCCCGCGCTTCCCTTCCCTTTCACCTCCGTCCCCCCGGTGATTAATTATGGACGATAGTGGATCCATTAAAATTTGAAAACTCCGACGCGGCGCCCTGGCAAAACAGAGAAAGTTGTCATGGCGTTCTTTGTAATTAATTTAGTTAGGAAGGTGTCACGTAAGCGGCGACCGTGCGAACGGGGGGCACGCAGTCCGCCAATTGCGCCGTTCTCAATCAATATTTAACGTAAATTGGCTCTAACCGTTCTCCGTAAATCAGACCTTAAGACACTAACAAAGAGGGAGACTCGCGAAATTGATTGTTATTAGAGGAAGGGGCAGGGCCGGGCGGCCGGATCGCCTTCTAGTGTTGCCCCGCGACGAGGGCATGGAAAATCGGGCGCACTTTTAACTTCACTAGTTCGATTTGGTGGGGAGTAGTAAAAGAAATAAAAATGGAATATTTATTTATTGTTTTCCCAAAAATTGCTCTTATCAAAAAGTATAAACATTTCGAAACACGGGGTGCTAAATTTACAAACATATACAGTATATATTTTAAATCCGCATTAAGGGTGTCATTTTACGTCCAAAAGCCTTAATAAAGTGTTTGAAAAATATAATATTTTTTCAATTATCTTTGGAGTTGTTTGATGTGGATTGACGAAGTTTAGAGAAATGATGCAACTAGTGGTGGAGCTTTGGAGGAGTCTTGTCATTAAAACTTAAAAAAAAACTACGCCTCTAGGTTTTCAGAAAAGTTTATGGGCGCAGTTAATTCGCTGTCATATTTCTAATAAAAAAGTTCTCTTGCATTTTCACTCCGTGTCACTGTTACCCACCCTCTGTCTAAAAATTTAGACAGAGTATAAAAGCATTTGATAGTTTAAAATCTTCCTTATGACGTTTACTTTCTACGCGTGGTGTCAAATCCAATGATGAGTGAAAAATCACTTTGAATTTTCCTCATATATATGCAAGACCAGATAGACCAGGTGGGATCTGTTTTGGTGTAGATGTTTTATTTAATAAAACAAATTTTTGCTAATTTTTGCTTTAACGGCTCCAAAATGATATAACAAAACATAATTTCACTATGCGCGCGCTTCAAAACGTTTGCTAATCTTATTAAACAAATAGTGAAAAAATTGGAAAAAATTCCATTTTTTTTTCTCTTTGCAAATTCACTCCTGGAAAGTACTCGGAATGACAAAGGTATTTGTTTAAAAAACAGCCCCCAGACCTCGTAGTTGCGCCACAAATGCCGGTCAACTTTGATTGACTATAACTCTGGAACCAATTAACGAATCACCACGTTTTTTTTTTAAAGAAGCGTCTTTCCTAGTACTTTAAAAGCATAATTTAAAAAAATAATTATAATGAATTTATAAAGTTATTCTATTTGTTTATAAGCGCAAAAATTACGCATATCTTTAAACAATTACCACGGCTCTCCTAATTAACGGATTTCAATTTTTCTGGACGTATTTTAAAGTTTAAGTGACCTTTTTTATGTGATAAAATTTTCAAGTATCTAGAAGTCTCAATTTAGGCTCAGTTAAATTTGTAAATATTTCAATTTTTTTCTAAAACCTGAATTGCAAAATTATTACTCGAAAACTATAGCACCGATTTTAACGAAAATTGGTGTGATGTTTTATTATATCAAAAATATTTTTTTGCCCAAGTACCATCTACCTATAATATAAGTACTTTGAAAAAATCGCGAAACGTACTTTTTTTCACTTTTTTTTGTTATTTTTGCCATATTTTCAATAATTACGTTGTATTTTTTTAATTGAAAATAGGTATATCATGTGTAAAATTTAATTACGAATCTTTTTTTCCTCTCCAATTTTTCATTAAAATGAATAGTTTTTGAACTGTGTTGAAAAAAATATAAAAAAATTGAATTTTTTCCAATTTTTTCATTTGTTTAATAATAAGTTTAGCACATGTTTTGAAGCGCGTGCATAGTGAAATTATGTTTTGTATCATTTTAGAGCCATTAAAGCAAAAATTTGCGATACTATATGTATCAAACATCCGTACATGGGTGTTTTGAAACAGATCCCGCCTGGTCTAAGAATTCATCTACAAATAGTCAAAAACACACCGGTACTCCACAATACTTAGAAACTGGGAATGTAAAACAACCTAGATAAAAACGATAACAAATTTTACAATCACATTCAGAAAAGTACAGAATCCATTTATCAATTTTGGTCACTACAGACACACTATAAACCATCTGGAATCTGGAATCCGGAATTGTAGCTGTAGCTTAAAAGCTACAGCACTTAGGTACAATTGGACCCCTTTCACTTCCTCCCATTAGGAGATCAATCCACCTGAGCCGTTAACCAACCTATTAAAAAGAAAAAGGTGTTACCGTTGCTCAGAGGGGTCTCTCTAATATAGGCCATAGAATGCCAATGTTCTCCCAACACGGATTCTTTTGTTGACTAGACGGCAGTGCATTCACATAGCATATGTAGTAGTGTCTCATCTTCCTGCTCACAACCTCTACAAAGAGTATATTTCACACTTCCTCATGTTGTGAAAGTGCATCTTTAGCTAACAGTGTCCAGTTTGAATACCTGTCACTTGGCGAAGATTTGACATAGACGTGACTAGGTATTTTTTGGCTGTAGCCTTGCCTAGGGTATTCTAAAAAGTCATTAGCAAATTAACAACTATTTATTTCATCCCACCTTTTCATAAACTCTTTGTGGATATTTTCCTGAATAATTTCAACAAATGCTGATAGCGAAAGCACACTGGAGAGACTGGTTCCGGTCTCGATGCTGTCCTGGCTAACTCGTCAGCTTCTTTATTACCATTGCACCGCTCGTGTCCCTTGACCCAGCATGCAAATATGCTGTTGAACTATAAACCATAACACCTGGATGCCTTGTAACGTTTGATAACTACGAGAAGATCAGGAATCGTTAAACTCGACTGCTTGATGACATAGGTACTGTGAACGCTGAAAAAATTGGGGATCTTTGGGAACAGTCCTGATGACTTCAGAAAGACTACGCACTGAAATCTTCGACGATTTGGTTTGGATTTTCTAAATTCAATGCTACTTAATGAATCTGAACTACTGGAGAAATTACGTGTACTGTCTTCAATCTAAACGAATATAATATTGTTTTGCAGTTCCATACAACACGTACTCGAGATTTTCAAATATTTGCTGTTTAGATTTCAGGTTCTTGTAATCAAGATATTCAGGTCTCGTGGTTTGCAATCCGTCTGTAGTCACCAAAAATTATAAACAAAAGGTCCCTGTACTTTCCTGAGTGTTATTATACATTTTCTCACCTCATGCACCTAAGTTTTATATTCAAGGTTTCCAGGTTTAATGTTAGTTCATAATTGTGGAGTATCGGTGTGTTTTTCACCATTTCTCGACGAATAAGGATCTTATGTGGAGCTATATACGGCTGCCATAATTGATATCCGAATTATGCTACTACGCATAATTAAATGTGTATTAGGACAATTTTTAGTCTTCAAACGTCTTTGTACCTTGCTCCAATTTTTTATTAGGGGATGGTAATAAATGGTATATAGAACGTATATAATATACATCGTTTACGATAACCATTTATATCTGTAATAGTATTAGTCTAGGCCCTTTAAAAGAATGGAAATGGATGTACGCAGATGTTAGACCCTTCGTGCATTATTAATAAACTTAAGCAATTCCGTTGAAGTTTCAGTCTCCCGAATGTTACGTTGAACTTGGCACCAAAAATTATGCTTTAATCGTAAGCAAAGTTGGTGTTTGCGGTTTTGGTTTGCAATTTAGTACATACGGTGAATTCGAGGTAATTGTAGAGCGGTATGGTAAATAATAACTAAAACTTTGTTCTCAGACCACCGTCTCTGGTAAAAACAGAATAACAATAATTGTAATAGTAATGAATGTACCCTGAATCAATACTTACATATAAACAACGAATATGAAAATGATGTAAATGTGTAAATTGAAATGTTGATAAATAAGCTAAACTGAAGTTAATAGTACTCATCAGGAAATAGGTTTTATAGGGAAACTGATTAAAACCGTTTATCATATAGTGAAAATAGTTGTTTGTATGTACAAATAACGATCATACAAAAAATTTTAAATGTATGCAACAGGAGGCAGTAAAAAAAGGTATCTCCTGTAGTCAACAAAAAAAAAACAATTTGACAAAATGTTTATAAATACTAAAAATTATATTGATTGTTGTGGCATACCTTTCGTTTTTTCTGTATTTATTATTTATTTGTTTAGTATTTGTTTTAATCATCTGCTTTTTTTTCGGTGTAAGATTTTTGGTTAGAAAAAACATTTTTTTTTAAAATAGATTTTTAATTTTTTTTTTTTTCATACGCGGTATAATACCTAAGAAATAAAGAAAAAAGTAAATATTATAAGGCAAATGTTATAAAAACAATATTTCATAAATACAATGTACAAAATATTTTATTGTTTTTACTTTATCAGGGAAAAACAATTTTCCTGTTTGATAAAATAGATAAAGATTTATATGTACATGTCGCTTTGGTTGGATTAAATTACTAATAAATAATACCGACGAAATAAATAACCAGATTTTGAAACCTATATATAAGTTTCCAAATTCAGAAAACTATGACTAAGTTTTCCAAGAACGTACACATCTTATCTTCCAATAATGTTGGGATTTACATCAGTATCACGATAGTGATAAGGAAGATTTGAAGCAGTGAGATATTTAATTTATGAAAAATATGAACACAGTGTTTTATTAGAATGGCAAAGCAAGTAAGTAATTTTCCTTTTTAAACAAATACATTTTTACACAACACATTGAACTGTGCATTTTTATCGCAGTAGGTAATTGTAATTAATTATTCTAATATAATGTGAATATACAGGGTGTCTAAATATTCAGTGCACTTGAAACTACGACATATTCTTGAAGTTTGGGTATATTTGAATATACGTATACATATACCAATTTTCTCAAATATTTGTTTCGAGTTGTCTATAGGTTTATAAATATACACACATTATACAGGGTGTCCCATAAGCACATGATCAAAAAGGTACTGCGACATTCTTTGGCTCAAAAGAAAACGATCTGACCTAACTTCCATTAAGAAAAAATGTCTGGCTACTCTGCTATTGATTGTCAAAGTTCTTGAAAAAAATGGTGTTTTTTGTAATATTTGGAGAATGTTACTATGGATTTTAATAAAACTTGCTGTGGACTTGTTCCTAAGTAAGACTCATATTTTGCTGAAGCAACCGCGTCTATCTGCCTTGGGCAAGTAGTAAATTCTTGAGTGTCTTGGTACAAGAATTACCAGAACTTTTTTATTGGTCGCTGGAATCAAATCATTTTTTTTATTGATGCATTAGTCCTTTTTCTAGACCAAAGGTCGGCAAGTAATTTTAGGTGGGGTCCGGATATTTTTAAAAATTTTTAACGAGGTCCAGAAAAAAATTCATATTTCTTATTTTTTATTTTAATTTGGACTCAAATTTAATCTGCTTACTACCATTAAGAACTCAAAACACTCACACAATTCTAAAATACTAGAAAAAATGTTAAGATTGGCACTTAAACGTAAAAAACATTTTTTAAATAATTTATTTCAGTAATTTATATTTTCAAAAAATTTTTGGCGGTCCAGTATTTTACCTTCCGCGGTCCGCCAGTTGCCGACCCTTGTTCTAGACTTTCGTGCTCTTGGTAAAATCTTGTAGCATTCATAGTTTTTACACAAAAAAATGTTTTCAGTTTTAGACATTCATTGTTACTACTACTCAAGTACAATTACTCACTACAATCACTACTATCGTAGTAAGTGATGATGTCATTTTATAATAAATGAATTTTCAAACTTTTGATGTTGGTCGGACAGTCCGACACGTTCCTTTCGAATGGCGTTTTCTAACGAAGAGATGACCGACTTAGGGTTTTGCGAAGACAACTTGCATGGAAGCCGTTAACCGTGTGGGTTGTCCTCAAGTTCGAAATGCAGCCGTTGAGGAAGACGCTTTAAATAGGGTCGCTGAAGATCCAAATATCAATACTCATCGTCTGGCACTGGATTTTGGCGTACCAAAAAGTACAATTAATCGAATCATAAGACAGCAGCTCCTCCACCCTTATCATGCGACGTCTATTCAGGAGCTTTTACCACACGATTTTGAGAGAAGACTTCAATATTGACGCTTTATTGAAGGAGCGCAGGCACGTGACCCAAATTTCAACAGCAGAATTTTATTCACTGATGAAGCTGGTTTTACCAGAAGTGGTGTCTTTAATTCACGTAATTTCCACCATTACGCAGAAGAAAATCCTCATGCGAGGCGTATTAACCACTTTCAGGTGGAATTTCGAATAAATGTTTAGGCCGGGATCATCGGTGACATCCTTCTGGGTCCTTATGTCATGCCGCGCCGCTTGAATGGCGAAAATTATCTCAATTTTTTAACGAATACTTTTCCGGTTCTAATGGAAGATGTCCCTCTGTGGGTAGACCAGACCAAAACAAGGTTAAAATTCTTATAAAATATTTTTCTGCGATGCGCTCATACTGAGTTACAAGGTGATGTTTAGAAAAAAATAATAACTTTCCGCAATTACTCAAAAACTCTCTCAGGGATTTAAGTAATTTTTGCGTGAAGTGTACATCTATTAAAGGTAGTTACTTTTTTAATATTCAAGTATATAAAAAAATCGTTCATTTTAGATAATTATCGAGGTCAGACGTAAATTTCACCAATGACGCCTCAAAATACCACGAAAATGATATATTTGTTATGAATTTTGACTGCAGCATCCTGTTCAGCTCATCGACTTCCTTTGCAAGTCATTATGGCTCTCTTGTGTTTGGATCTTTGTTGTTTATGTGTGGCTGTGTTGTGTAATCTGTGTTTTTGTTATAGGAGAAGCTAAGGAGTGGGGCAGTAGACTATGGAAGAATATACGAACAAAAAATAGCCGCCTATTTAGCTATAAAATGTGCGCTGGATTCAGAAATTTCCGATTTTTGGATATTAAGCAACGTAAACGGAGTTGAAGCTTTCGATGATATCGTCCTCATGGTCCGAGACATACAAGGGAATAAAAAATTATTCTGCATCCAACTGAAACATCTAGTGAACAGTAATTTACAAGCAACGCAGCTTGAGAATCATACACCGAAAAACAAATTTAGTTTAAAGAAATACCAAGACAGTTTCGAGATTATAGAGAAGAATATCACCGCTAACAGTGTGGATATATTAAGAAACACTAGTTTGGACGAAATATACCTCATCTTGTGGACAAACGCCCCGTTGACAAGCAGAGACAAACTGCAGTATCTGAACGTTGACACCATAGGGGGAATGGATTTTTTGGACACGTCATCGCAGTCAAATGTATACAAATTAAACAATTTGCCCTCAACTGAATTACCCTTCAACCAAAAATTCCTCGAGAGGTTTTATGTGTTTGCGGAACAAGCTCCCGCCGCTTCTTTGGACAGAATAATTAAAAACGAATTCTGTTCTCACTTTCATAACGTAAGTAATTCAGTAATTATCAACATAACAGACTACTTCACCAAGTGGTCAATGGGTGATGGCAAAAAGATACGAAGAATTGCAAGAAATGACGTACAGAGGATGCTTTTGGAATTTCTTCTTTCACCTCATCTAATCGAACCAAATCAAATAGAAGAGTCGAGCCATGAAAAATTCGATTTGATAATTGAAACACTGGTAAGTTTCAATGTAACACCAATTAACGAAGAAAGGTTGTTGACAAACATTTTTTCTTACAATAAATCGGTATTGGACAAACTGTATAATTCAAGCTTAAATTTGGATTTTCCTTGGAATAGCGACTTACGCGGACTCCATTGGGATATCCTGAGATCAGTTAATGATGAATCTAACCGACGGATTTTAATAATTCTCCAAGAGAAGAAAATATTTGTTCCTCATTTGACCATAAAAGACATTTACCTCGCTTCTTGGCACTGCAGACTGATTCCACTGATATTAAACTGTAATACCTCGAAAGAATTTGTCGAAAAGGTACTTATCAAGTTTAAAGAAGTTACCAAGGACTTGAGCTTTGTGCTTTTAAACCCAGTGACCTCTATTCTTAAAGACAGTTTGAAAATATTTGAAAGCATTAATAGTATACAAAAGACACAAATAAAAAATAAAAATTTAACTGAAACTTTTATTTCGATGCAGAGCAAAATGAGAATAAATCTTGAGAAGTTTAAAGACAACATTGAGATACTCCAAGAAGTTACACCAGATGTGTATCTAACTTTAATGGAATGTCTCGTCGTACTCGGTGAGTCGATTGAAACTGAAAATTATTACGTGAAAAGAGACCTGCGAAGACCGATATTAAAACTGAGTGTCTTAGACGAAAATAGCGTACTAAAAGATCGAGAATGGTTATTTAACAAAGCAGGAGATATATTTCTATTAGTGGAATTTGAGCAAACACTTCCGTTACGGTACGCAAATAAATCTGTGGAGCTAACGAAATATTTAACTGATAAAGCTTACCAAGAAGATGAGAAAATATACATTCTAGTTACAAAATTGAATGATCTCGATGAACAGGTGATCTCCGCAGCTTCGAAGTTACACAAGGAAAGTTCCAAATCCGTGCACGTAATGAAGCTCTGTAACAATCATCTGGAATGGTCGTTTTCCAAAGGAACTGTAGAAGCTTTGCAAAAACACTTAATCGAAACAAACCTTCTGAAAGATGAAAACCCTGAATACAATATACCAGAAGATGACATTTTGATGAGATCTAGATCTGGCGTAAATATGATAAGCAACAATGCTAGAATGGGAAAGACATTTATGTTAAAAAGTCTAGCAAATAAGTTCGAACCAGACGAATGGGTGTGTTACATAAATCTAAGCGAGCACATCTCAAAAATTCCGCAAGAGAACAGATTTAGATCTTACTTTCAAGAAATCTCGGTGAATGCTTTGAAAACCGAAGTTGCATGCATCCAGAGATTTTGCGAAAGAATGTACTTGCACTGTTTGCAAACGAGAAAGATAATATGCCTCTTCGATGGATATGATGAGGTTCCCTCAGACCATGCTCTCACATTTCTTAAAGAAGCCAAAGAGTGGGGATTAAGAATGTGGATAACAACGAGGCCTACGTATAAGAAGGAATTGGAAATGCACATGGAGAACTTATCCGTTGAAATAACACACTTTAGCACAGAAGACCACGTAACGTTTTTGTGGAAATATTTTCACAGTTACAACCATATAAACCATTACAACGACACTCAAATTCAGTATATTATAGATACCATAAACAAATGTTCTAGTAATCTAGACAAAACTCTCATCGCTCTGCCTCTACAAACCCGCATGTTTGCAGAGATCTTTGGCGACGACATTAATCAGATCGATGAAAAGGAAAAACTGACCATTGTTGATTTGTACAATAAATTTGTTGACGTCAAACTAAAAGAATACAAGTCGTACGAGGCAACTAGCTTAAAGAAAACCCTCTCCAAATTGGCCCTGAAGTTGTTTTTCACTGAACAACAGCTGGAACATGTTTTGGATTTCGAGGATCTGGCCGAAGAAGCTGTAACTTTCCAGGAAAGCTACAAAAAAGACTCGATAGTCATAGGGTTAAATGAGAGGGGTGACGCTGTATTTGGACATCGAACGTTTGCTGAATTTTTAGCCGCTTACTGGTTGGCCAAACAGATCGTCAATAGAAAAGGTGAATATAACTTTTCTTGGCTGCCAGTGCTAGAGAAATTGTACTATATTGAAATGGTTCCGGTGAGAGTGTTCTTTGACAGAATATTATCTCAAAACTTACCCTTGCACTTAGCAGTATTAAATAACGACAGAGAAAGCGTCCAAAGCTTACTGACAACAGAGCCACATAAAGATGTTGATGTTTTAGGAAGGTCAGCTTTGCACATAGCAGTAACGTATGGTAAATACTACGATCTATACATTGCCAGAGAAATCAAAGGACTGAGAAACGTCGGCGTACATTCTGTTATTCGATGCAATAACAATACTTGTCGGCTGACAATTCCTTTACTAGAAGAAAAACAATACCGGATATCAGGCGAAATTGTTGATGTACTCATAAATCAAGGTTTTTTGAATACCACGGACAGATTGTTCAGATATGATCTCTTTGACTACGCGATGAAGTCGTGCTCTCTCAATTTCGTGCACAGCCTTTTCAAGAAGTTTGAAAAAGTTGCCTTGTACTTTGAAGCCGGTTATAGTTTTGAGATATTTCTGTACTGCATTATTCATGACAATTTGTACAATATTTTGAGTAATAGAAAAACTTACAATTTTAATGTGACACAAGACGATCAAAATGCACTTAGAGACATGTTTAGAGGGTACAATTTTAAATTATTGACGACAAAATACAACGAAATGTACTTAACTGAAGTAGCAGCTATGATGGGTGGTAAGGAAGTTATTTTCGATCTTCTCCAAAGCGGTGCATTAGGAATCCAAGACGGCAACATAGTACACAAAGCTTGTTTCAGTGGCCACAGCGACGTTCTGGAGTTGTTATATAATTTAGGAGCTAATATAGACAGAAAAGATGACAGCAATTGGTCTCCTCTGTACCAAGCTGCTAAGAGAAAGCGATCAGATCTCGTATACCAATTACTTAAAAATAGTAAATTTCTGTCAAACGCTAAAAGATCTTCCACTCTAATGACTCCTCTTCATTACGCCGTTCAAGGAGGTCACCTGGATTGCGTGAAAAAGTTATTAGAATTTGGCGTTAAAGTCAACGTTAAAGATGCATACGACAATACACCTTTAATCTACGCATGTAAATACGGACATGTTGAAATTATCGACGTTCTGCTAAAATCTGGACAAGTAGATATATCGGAAAACTCAGTAAACTCAACTGTAAATGTAGTTGCTTTTCACGGCTACAGTGACTGCGTCAAAAAGCTATTGGAGTATGGTCTAGATGTTAACTATATCGACGACGAGGGAAACACTCCTCTGATGATAGCTAGTCAGAAAGGATTCTCCGATGTCGTTTCGGCATTAGCCAGCTCCGAGAATTGCAATCTAAACCTGATGGTACGCAATGAAAGCCTAGCTAGTCTTCAGATGTGGTGTGCTGGCAACAACCACATAATGCTGCATACAAAATTATTCCACGTAAAACGCGACAGAAGCGAACTTGGTGGCATAGCCGCCCTACATTTTGCAGTACGACACGGACATGTAGATTGCACGAAAACTCTTCTCGACCTTGGTGCTGACCAAACCGTAGAAGACGAAATTACCAAGTACGCACCTCTGGTATGGACATGCATGTATGGTTTCGAAAAGGTTTTGAAACTGTTGTTAGAAGGTGAGGATTCAGAAATAAAACAAAACAATGCGCAAATAGGTTTGATTTGGGCTTCAATGCTAGGTTACGAAAAATGCGTTGAAGTTCTATGTAAATATATTGAGAAAACTGAATTGCCTACGAATGATGAAACCAATCAACGTATTAAAGCAGTTATAACTGCGGAATTTGGAACTGATAACTGGTATATCCGAGAAAATGAAAATATGCCGCTTCTTTTGGCGGCTAAAAATGGCTACGAAAGTGTTATTAGAACCTTAGTGTCCATCAAGTATAGAAACAACGAGGGCTTGGAGGAAGCACTACACTGGGCAGCAAAAAATGGACATTTAGAATGTGTTAAGGAGTTAATACAAGCAGGCGCTGACGAGACTAAAACAAATGAGAAATTCCTGCGCCTACTACCCATATCCTGGGCCAGCATGTATGGTAAAACTAACGTCGTGGAATACCTGCTTCAAAATAAGACCAGTGATTGGTTAGGGAATAAAGACTTCCAATTAGCTCTAAATTGGGCAGCAGTGGGAGGGCATTATGACTCTCTGATGTTATTGATTGACTTTGGTCTGGATGTAGACAATATTTACGAAGACCTAAATGGAGGAACTCCACTTATAAGCGCTTGCGAACATAGAGGGACGGTGGAGGTGATCGATGCACTGATGGCGAAGCAATGCAACGTAAGAGCAAAAGATAATGACGGTTCGACTGCTCTGGACATCGCTGCCAAAAGGAAAAAGTTTGAAATTGTCAAGAGGTTTATTAATTCAGGAGCATTCAATGACATGGAAGTTGAAGTGGAATCGGAACTGTACAAGAATCTTCAAATAGTACTCGAGTGGGCTGTGCAAAAGGAAGAACATGAGCTTATAGAAGGGTTATTAGCACTAGGAATAAGTATAGATAATAAATGATTTATAAGTAAAATTTTATTTCCGATTGAAAGACATAAAATTGTCCTTTTATAAGAAAGTTTCTTTCAAAAGTTTAGTCTGTAACTCAATTGTCTTTTTTTTAAGTAATAATAAAAGTCAATATTGTTCTATAAATTTAAAAGTATAAGTTCTATCATGATAAAGAAGACATTTTTTTGGCACTTATGTCCAAAGTACATAAGGTCCAAAATCGACCTAGTAAAAATATTGAGAAATTCTTCATGGCAATGTGTACTATGGGGTTGCCTGTTATTTGACGTATGTGACGTCACTACTAAAAAGGTCTGCTGTTACGTATACTTACTTACGTATCTGTAACGTACAACATAGGTTATGTGATTTAAGTGATTTTTTTACAGTGTACGAAGTCAAAAAAAAACGTTACTTGAATATTTCTGTACACAGGACCAACCGAGCTATCGATGAAGTCAGTGGTTTCAAAAATGTTTCTCTGTGTTATTGTGGTGTTATTGAGGTACTACAAAAAATCCAAAAAAAAATGTCAAAAATATTTCTGTTAATCAAGATTTCGCTCTTCGGTTTATTTATTCTTCAAATATCCTCCCCAAATCTATCTGTAAACACCCTGTAGATAAAATTTCTTCTTAACTGGAAGCCGATTTCTCGATATTTCCTATATTTAACTTAAAACTAATTTTTTAATTGTACCTATCTCTTAATGAGGATATAAAAAATACAGGTATTTAAGAAAATAAATTTGTCAGAGACAAATAAGTTTTTATTTATACTTTTCGTATTAAAACTTTTAGCAATATCTATACCGTAACATAATCTGATGCATATTCGGAGAAAAAGATAAAAAAATATGAGGGAAATCCGTCGCAATTGATACCCAACTAAAAAATGTATCCAACTGATACCAGTATCAGATATGTATTCTATATAGTCATACGGTTGTAAATAAAATATTTGGGTTCTGTCCGCTGTGTGTAATACGCTAAATATGTTAAATTCAGAAATATTTATAAAAGTGAGTATATTCTTTTAGTATAAATAATAACTATAGCAGTATGTATGCATTTCAACATTTTACTAATGTTTTCTGTAATTTCACCTGGACGTTAACATTTTCATTTTTCATTTTTTTTTTAACTTTAATTGTATAAGTGCATATTTTGAAATATTCTCCTTATCTATCAATATTGCTGTGAATTGTAATTTTAAAAAAATCTTGGTTTGAAGATAGTGTTTTGATAGTTTCCTGGTATAAAAGAAAACTTTATATTTGTATAGTTTAAATCATTTAATTACATTTTTATATTCAGTACATATACAGGGTGATTCACAAATGGTGACCAAAAATGAAACCTCGTATACTTTGGTGAATTTTAAAGGGAGCCTTTCCAATAAAGTTTTTATCTAGGACACTCCGTTAAAAAGATACAGGGTATTAAACTTAAAAAATATTTTACATTTTTTTAAATAATTTAAAAAGTAGTAAGTGAAATAATTTTAAATTGGGCGTATGTATTTTTGGAAACATTGTCCAAAGTCTGAGGCATTTTCTAAAATTTATGTAAAAAATTGAAAGACGAATCCGAAAATATGATTGTTACCGTAAAGCAGTGGCGTACTATTTTATTTAGAAAAATATTCCACCGATTCCCTGTCCGCCACTGCAGCATTTAAATTTTAGAAAAAGGTCTCAGATTTTGGACAATGTTTACATAAAAACATGTGCCCAATTTCAAATTATTTCACTTATTAGTTTTTCATTTATTAAAAAAAAAAAATTAAAAATATTTTTTAAGTTTAACACCTTCTATCTTTTTAACACGAAGACTCCCCTTAAAATTCACCAATTAATACGAGGTTTCATTTTTGACCACCGTTTGTGAATCACCCTGTACTCTTCAACATTTTTATACATTTGTTTCCATTATATCTGTTTCATTTAAATTTATTTTGATATATTTTCAACTACTTAATTTCAAGAATTTCAGAATCAAGAACTAAAAAGTAAATCGAGCTTATAAAATAAAACTGTTAATTTTAACGCTTGTTCGCCGCTACTGCATATTTTTTCCGAATTTCATCGTAATACTGCTATAATAAACTCTATAAATTAAGGGAAACTAAACTTCATTCATTTTAAAACGTCGTACGAAACATCGCTAATAATTTACAAATGAATTTCTCTTAAATTATATCATATTTTTTACAGTAAATCAATATCCTCAAGTGTAATACTATTTCAGTGGATTCTTCACGTCCATGCGATATTATCAACACTTTACAAGAAACTCTTCACGATGCAATCTTTTGTAGTATACCTTCTCGTTCTGATGATGTTACTTGTAGTCGTAGCGATTTTAATCATGATATATTTGCTGCATCAAGTGAAGAAACTGAAGAATAAAATGGTAGACAGTACGAGTGGGCCACGCTATCCAAGCAGCGAACTTCCTCCATACGAATATTGCTTGCTGGAAAAGGAAACGCACAGTAAATTTCATAAAGACAGTATTACTAATAGATCTGCTGTTTCGAGCTGGATCTATAAGGATTTTAATATTAAAGCATGATACTTATTTAACTACCCATGATGTGTGAATGTTTACCTCATTAAGTATTATATATTACCTGATTAAGTATTAAATTTCGTACACACCAATAATTATTAAAAATTACTAACTGATTTTATTTGTTTTAATGGTTATTTATTAATTAATAGTAGTAGTATTTGTGTGCAGTATTTTAAATTGCAATAATTACAGGGATAAGTTACTATCAAAATTTGTTTATGCGTCAGTGTATTTCTAATCGATTAAATTAGTTGCAAAATGATTTCCCTATTGTATACTTAAAAGTGAATTTTAAATCTACATGCTACACGACAGCATGCTACACGAAGAAAAAAATTTATTGAATGTATCAATGGTTCATTGTAAGTGCGATTGTGTAAGCAGGCGCCCATTTTAAAGGTAAGAAAACCACCGATCGTTTTTCTTCATATTCTCAGTTATTTTCATTGCCAACAATTTAAGTCATGCTATTGAACCAGTAGGTAACAAAAAAAATTCAGTCCATTTCAAAACATTTTTTGACACAAAACATCACTATCTGAACTTTCAGTATGAAGTTTACTATCACTACTGTCACTGCGTTTTGTAATTACAAAATTTTCTGTAACAGAGTCTAATAAAGGCTTCGTCTCCATGAATATAGTATAGTTTAAAAGTTCAAACTATAAAGGGCAGAGGCAATGGGAAGTGGGTTAGTTCAAATTTTTTAATCTCAGCACATATATTTACCAGTTTGAGGAAAACATGTTATGGTGGTTAAAAGTATTCCTCACCACGTAGGTTGGGATGGGGAGAAATAAAATGCAAAAATAAAATTACAGGTATATTTCTCACAGTGATCTTCTGTGGGGTACTTTGATGTTCAATGGTCTACAGATGATCCAAGTGTGTTGGACTCGGGGTATACAAATCTGATGTCGCAGGGTGGACCTAAATCTCTCTGTGCCAGGCTACCATAAAGATTGTTTACTTTCGGGACTTTAAACTCCCACTTCTCGTAAATCTTCATTAAATCTGGTGTAACTTATTCAATTTTAGCTACTAATATTCACTAATAACTCGAAACTTTACTAATTACAATTTTAATTATAATTATTTACTTTGATTCGTAAATTGTATACAAATCTTTACACAAATATTCACTCGAATATTAACTCAAGTCTTCAGTGAAATATTTACTTAATATCTCAAAATATTTATGAAAAATCTAATCGAAAATTAATTCGAATCTTTACAGATAAATCTTTATAATCTTTACTGGTAAGCTCTGATGACAGAGAGAGAACGAAATTCTATTAGCACGTGGTTGTACTGCATTGAAGATCATTAAAAAATAAGCAAAATTCAAGTGGTTACTAAACTAAAATCTACTAAATTGAATTTAAAAACTAGAAATTTAATTATTTGGCAAATTACCTTTGTACGATGGATTTCACTATTCACAGGTGATAAAATTTTAGATAAACTTTTGGTTTAGATTTACAAACGCGAGCTCGTTGCTTTACCAGTTACAAAATGAAAGAGAGCTTCAACCGCTATGATTCGTCGTTTGAACAAAATAAATTTCAGACTGAGCAACTGCTATTTGCAAGAAGAGCGCCAGAAGAAAGGGCCCTAGCCGGCGGGGCCCAGCCAGGACAAAAGGAGGTCCCACAAAGCGCCTACATCGGCCGCATTTGCGGTCGGGGTAGACGACGGATAGGGCAGACCTACGAAGGCTGTCCAGGCCTACACGAGATGAGGCAGGATAAAGAGGGATAATCCCCCTCGATCCCAAATCATTGAGGCCAATTTCTAGCCATTTAATCACCACTGAACAGGTTCTATCATTGACCATAACCTAGGTCCAAACTGCATAACGAGCGTTCAAATAAAAACGTGGTCAAGTTGGTTCTGAAATTTTGGACGTAGGGCGTAGCGTATAGCAAATGAACTTAAAAGTCATCTGTCAAAGCGCTATACCGCCGCTATCAATTTGAATAATTTCGTTTTAAAAAGCGTTTAAAATGGTGTTTTCTCAAGAACAAAAAGTGTTTATCATAGAGTCCTACTTTAGAAATGGACGCAAGATTGATGGAATATGGAAGTATTCCATTGAGGAATGTTTCATAGAATTTCAAAATCAATTTCCCGGCGTTGTTGAGTACAAAATTTTTCAAAGTGCAGTTCAGCGTTGTGTTAATGTTTTTCGTGAAACGGGCAGTGTAACAAGAAAAGAAGGAAGCGGCCGACCTAAAAAGCGGACTGAAGCTTTAAAAGAAAATGTCTAACAAATCAAATAATGGAAAATGCGCCAAGAACTTCTGTACGTGTTTTATCACAAATGGTGGGAGTATCAGACAGTACCTGCCACACAGTGTTAAAAAAGATTTGCGTTTGTTCTCCTATCGTTTAACTTGTCAGCAAGAACTTCATGAAGTCGATTTTCCGCGACGGGCTGTATTTTGTGAATGGTTTTTAAACAACTACGGTGGACTTCATAATATCACCTTTTTTTCTGATGAAGCCTGGTTTCATTTAAGTGGTTACGTAAACTCACAGAATATGAGAATGTGGTCTTCTGAAAAAACAGATAACTTTTTTGTCGAGGGCCCTCTACACGCTCAAAAAATTGTAGTTTGGTGTGCTCTCAATCGAAGGAGGATTTATGGACCTATTTTTTTAATGGTACTCTTACTGCGCAAAGGTATAGAGAAGAAATTATCGCTCCTTTTGTTAACCAGCTGGAAGAAAACGAAATTACAAACTTTTACTTTCAACAAGATGGCGCAAGTGCACATACGGCAGGCGAGACGATGAATATGTTGAGGGAAGTTTTCCAAAATCGACTAATAAGTCTCAATGCTGAACATGAATTTCCACCGAGGTCATGTGATATTACGCCGTGTGATTTCTTTTTGTGGCCTTACCTTAAAAACACTATTTTTGAACTGCCTATTCCTGATTTAAACCATCTGCAGGCTCGACTTATAGACAAGATTCGTGAAATTAACAATACCCCGAGCATCTTAGAAAATGTCTTTAATTCTTTGAGGAACAGGTGTGAAAGGTGCTTGGAACAAGAAGGGGGACACTTTCAGCAGCTGCTTTAATTTATTGTTATAATAAGGAGGGGGACACTTTCCGCAGCTCCTTTAATTGTTTGTTATTGTTATCACGATTATTCTTTATAATAAAATTATATAGTCATTAACGTTATTGAAACTGACAGCTGCTATACAGCTCGTTGAGAAATGAGGTTAAGTTGGTCAGTATAAGCTACTCCCTACGCCCAATGTGGCAGAGCCAACTTCGACCACGTTTTTATTTAGTCCACTAATCATGTTTCTATGGATCAATCGAGTTCTTAGGTCGATGTGAGAGAAACAAATAAATAATCTCCAATACTTGACAGCCAAGTACTTAATCAAATGTGCATACTCGTGCATATATAAACAATAATAAAAGGTAATAATAACATTAAAATTTAGTACAGTTAAAATTATACAAGCACAGATAATAGTACAATTCGTACAGATTTACATTTCGTTTAATAAAGTTTATCCAGGTTTAAACACAGATACCTAATCCTAATAGCAAACATATCGCATAAGTTTATTAAATCAGTGTTCTATAACTAGTTTTAGGGTGTAACAAAGATCAACATAACGTTACAAGAGTATTACAGTATACAGGTGGAAACAAACTATGTTTAATAACAAAGTTGAGTTTTATATCAAAATCTCAAGCAGCTGTTAATTGTTGTACACGAGCAGTGTTTAGCTAAAAATGGTGACATTCACGCTGTATAAATAGTGAATGTTACAGCTTGTTGACATCGAAATTTACATTTTTCTACTGAAAAATGTTGAAAAAAGTCATAGCAAATGATATCGAGGGATGTTAAATTAATTTTAATCTGCAACATACCGTTTCATAGCAACCCAAACTAATTTGAAGAAGTTTAAATCTGGGTAGTGCGACGGAAAGCCGTAAAGTATTATATCCGCGTGATCATTTACAATTTTGACTACCACAAAAGTTTTATATGTCGTTTTGTGTGTTTTAACTGAATTGTACAAATCAGACGTTAACATGTTATCTGTATAAGGGAGGCTTACCACTATTTCATTTCTATTTTTCAATTTGAACATTGTGCTAAGGAGCATTGTCAATCACCAGTAAACTTCCTAGGTCTAAATTGGGAATAAGTTTCTCCTGTAACCACTTCCATAATTTTCAAAGTTCATGTCTTTATAATAGTCACCACTTTTACAATTTAATTTGGAACGTTGGTATGCATTGGGCACGAATCCATTTCATTTCCAGCACTTATTTAATATAATATGTCTTTGACCTTTTGACCGAGATAAACCAGCGTTTGTGCTATCACTCCGTCCACTGTTATGTGTATGAGAAAAACGGATGTAAGTCCATAAAAATAATTACCCTGTTTTTTTTTCTCTTTGCTTCTGAAGAAGTGAAGCCTGAATTTCTCTGAACTGTCGTTTCTACTTTAATATTTCAGAATTCGATTCAGTTCATAAAAGTCAGCGTTAGAAATTTCGGTAGGTTTGAGGTTTGTCAGTAAAATTATGAGGTGGTCGATCAAAATTTAATCAAAGATGTCATTTGATGGAATGTAATGTAAATGTGTTTAATATACACGAAATGTTCTCTCAGTGTATAATTTGATATAAGTTATAAATAGGACTGTTTGCTAAAGAGTAAATTGCTCATTCTACGAGTACTAACTACAAAATTATATTAACATCATGCACTCGTTTGTGTCAGTTGACTGGCATTACTTAGTCGACATGCACATGATATTGTACTGTAATGAGAGTGTAGGGAAGTTCATCGTTTGACAAAATACCAATTCGAAGGATTTAATATGTTTCTGTTTGGTATATTTATATACGTAAGTATTTTTTATCGATTTAAATTTATGATGTTTAGTTTATTTTTACTTATTATTTATTATTTCATTCACAGAAAAGCATAAATAGTGCGTGCATAATATTTCTCTAATAAAGTAGATTGTTTAGAAATGGACAGTCACTTTGTAAGAAACTATTATTACAAATTACAAGATTATTACAAAAAATATAAGTTTTATCGAAAAAACATCGGAA